TTTCAATTCCTTCTTTTTGCACTTAATAGATCCATTATAAAAGTATACAGTCATGAAGATTCAATATAGTCAAAGTGTCTGACGTACTTGTGATAGTTGTTTAAAGAGACCMAATTTTRGCATATGATTTTCATTCTACCGGTTGAAAGGGTTCTACCGGYCATTTAACTACGGGACTGGTGGCTATAGAAAGCTGAGAGTGAGAGCTTTATTTTTATATGCTTATCGTACTTATTGAGAAGGTTCTTATGCAGTCATTGTTGGTCAAAAGAGAACCCAAATATTGCTCGGGCACTTGTTCGGGCGCATGCAGTTTTCATGTGGTTTTTTGAATTTTGCACTGGAGAGAGGAATCGAAGAGAAAAAAAAGTGCTTCACGCATGGTTAAAAATGCTCCCCGTGATATTTTCACGTGATAATTTTCACTCTTGATTCACTCAGACCTCCCAATTTCCTCTTTTCGACTCCTTTCTGTCACTCAACTGACTCAGACCGGCTTCTCCTTCTTTGCACCTCAAGTGACTCATTGAGCCAACGCGCCTCCAGGGGGGGGGAACGCGTCTCCGTTGGCTCACTCCAGGGGGGGGGGAACGCGTCTCCGTTGGCTCCATCGACCGGTCCGCATCTCCGTTGCTCCCTATTGTCTCCGTTGCTCCCACTAGTAATAGGGGATCCATCGACCGGTCCGCGTCTCCGTTGAGCCAACGCGCCTCCACTAAGAGGGGGGAAGACCGACTTGCGTCTCCAGCATTGCTTCCACTATTAAGAGGGAATCGCGCCTCCGTTGCCATTGCTTTCACTGACGCGGGAAGCAAAGCCTTGCACCTCCGTTGCCCTCGCACCTCCGTCGCGTTGCCCTCGCACCTCCATCGCTTCCTCGGAGCGACGATTCAACAATCAACCAACCGTCGTGTTTGTTTTAACTCACTTTTCCCCCCCCTTGGTTCTTTCTAAAGCAAATAAAGAAACAGCAACAAGATGGTTGATACTACTGCAAGCGATACTGGAGGAGCAAGCGATACGGCAAGCGATACTACGGCAAGCGGAAGCGGAAGCAGTGATAGCGATACGAGCCCACGAAAGCTCAGGCTTTTAACGGACAATGAAAGAAGTGCAGTTCTCCAGTTCCTCCTACAAAATCTAAGGAGTAGTAGCAGTGAAGGCAAGCTTCTCAAGAGGGGAGCTGTTAAGGATGCTGCACTACAGTTCAACATGTCAACCAAAACCATCTCAAGGGTCTGGAAACGGTACAAGGAAACTTATGATCCAATCAGTTGTCCTGCTGGGAATGTCTCCAGTAGAAGACACTTGAGTGGTCGCAAGCCAACGCCCGTATCAGATCTGGACGCACTCCACACTGTTGCGCACAAAGACCGAGGTGATCTACGCACTCTAGCGTCTGCAACTGGGATTCCCAAGTCAACTTTACATGTGCTTGTCAAACGTGGGAATATTAAAAAGCACAACGGAAGCACAAAGCCCTTGCTGACACCTGCGAATAAACTTAAGAGAGTCGAATGGATCATGAAACACATTGATCGGAACGGTAAGTTTGACGACTGGTTCAAGTGGATMCACATCGATGAGAAATGGTTTTATCTACTAAAGCGGACAAAGCAGACGACCTATCTGCTACCAGGCGAAGCTGAGCCCAAGTCAACGTCGAAGTCGAAGAACCATATGACAAAGGTGATGTTTTTGTGTGCAACAGCCCGTCCACGTTGGGATACGAACAACCGTGTCTGGTTTGATGGTAAGATTGGTATTTGGCCCTTTGTTGTAAAAGAACCAGCCAAAAGATCGTCTGTGAATCGCCCCAAAGGAACCTTGGTTACCAAGCCACAGAACGTTAATGGGGAGGTGTACAAACGGATGTTGCTTGAGAAGGTACTGCCTGCGATCTACGAGAAGTGGCCGAGGGGATCTACTACTCCGGAGATTTTCATTCAGGAGGATAATGCGAAGCCTCATAAGGCTACTATCAGGGACGAGGTGAAAGCGACTGCAGCTAGCAAAGGTTGGAACATTACTGTGAAGACTCAACCACCAAACAGACCGGACATGAATGTACTTGACCTTGGATTCTTCAATTCAATTCAAAGCTTACAGTATAAGAAGCGCTCGAAGGATATTGATCATCTGATTGCGAATGTGAAGGAGGCGTTTGATGAGTGCTCACATGAAACATTGAATAATGTATTTTGTCCCTCCAGGCTTGTATGGAAGCGTCTCTTGGTGTAGACGGTGATAACAACTACAAGCTTCCGCATATGGGCAAAGCAAGCCTAATGAGAGAAGGTACCCTTCCGATTTCGATGATTTGTGATCCTGATCGCATCAATGCGGGACGTGCACTACTACTTGCACAGGAGGCTCAAGTGGAAGCCAACAACACTGCAGGCGGAAGAGGAGTAGTTAACCAGTAGTAGTAATATTATTTAGTTGCAATCAATTTAACAGTGGAAAGATGTTTCTGGTAGTGATTGGGCAGTATCCTACTGAGTACTTAGTTAGGGGACTATCATATCCGGACGGCCAAAAAGGAGTCACGGGACGGTCATTTCCGGACGGAGGAAGTACTGTACTAGGTACGAAGACTCGTGATAGCATCACGAAGCGAACTCTTACTCGTACTACTGTACCCGGACGTTGTGTTTTTCTAGTTCCGGAGTCGAAAATTGATGTCGATGACATACCGTATGTACCGTATCGTACTACAACTAATGTAGTACTTATTGTCATTCTTTTTACACGTTGACCAATCAAAGATGAACCCGGAAAGAAGAACGGAGGAGAAGCTTCGTGTAGATTGGCAGCTCCATAGTCGCGGATGAAGAAACATCTCGACAGTTCGAGCAGTCGCCGCTCACGTACTCGCACTCCTCCGAACTTTAAGTGATAAAAATTAAAATCATTCCATAAGTATCCACTCAAGTATCCAGAAACTGGCACACGAATATCAAGATATATTTTAGGCACACCTTTTTGAATCGGAAAACAATTCCCCATCGACAGACTCTCGTATTGCTTTGTTGCTTTCGCCATTCTCTGAATGTCCCCATCGATGTTAATGCGAACAACGGAAGTCAAAACAGTGCCGTTTCTAGATTTTATCGTTATCGGTTACGTTGCGTTGTTTTTGCAATAACTATTTCAATGATAGTAGGAATATATATCTGTGCAACCAAACGAAATGAAAACAAGCGCAAGTACATATGTACCAATTTTAGTGTTTTGGTAGCCATCGCGTTCTAGTATCGTGATAAAAACCACAATGTTGTTGATCTACGACGACCACACATTTCAAAAACATCTGGTCCCACCACGCGATGCGAAACCCAACGGACACCACCCGAGACGGTGCGGTTCCTCTCCTACCCCATCGGTTCGGCCCTTTGGCGTGTATGGGCCGTTGCCGATGCGACGATGGCCCGCTGCTTGCCTTTCCGTACGTTGCTGCCGTGGTGCATCTAGCTGCCGGAAGGTTTCGGAGACACGAGCCGATGGCGCCGGAGCGAGAGAGAGGCTTCGTTCCCGACGCCACCAGCAGGGGCCTGCGGGTATCGTATCGGACGAAAGGAACCTACAACAAACACTACGCTACAGCAAGAACTACAAGTTTCACAAGGTAGTCGTAGAAAGTGCAAATGCCAAACGTGGGCTTGTTTCTAGAAAAATAGCATCGCACTAGGCGTTGGGTTATCGATTCGTGCTGGCAATCGTGCTGGCAATCGTGCTGTGTCCCGCAAATGGTGGTTCCGACACTGCGAAAGAAGGCGCCTCCGCTTCCTCGCCGGCGTGTGTGTGTGTCCGTGTTCGATCGTCCGCTTGTCGGGCGTTGCCCGTTGCCGTCCCTGGTCGTTCTTGCCAAAGCCGTCGGTGTTGATGGTGGTGTTGTTGCTAGTAATGTTCGTGGTGGTGTTGTTGCTGCAGCGGACGCCGACGGAGCAGTTCCTCCCCCGAAAGGTTCCCTCGAGCTGGTGGAAGGAACAGGCGGACACATCGACCGGTGTGTCGTCAAAGACGAAACTCCCGGTCCACTCGTGGCAGGGATCCCCTTGTTCGTCGTTGTCSGAAACGACAAAGTTGGAGGTCCATCTTAGCGTCGACGTGGTGGTGGTGTGGGTGATGGACCCGTCCGCGTTCTTGCGAACGACCGGCCCGTGCGGCTCCGGGCGTTGGTGCTGTGGCTCGTAGCTCCTCTGGGGGTTGCTGCTGCCGATACCACCGTGGTGGCTCTCCCGCCTCGGCGTACAGACGGTGATCTTGTACGAGACGCTCGGGCAAAAGACGCTCTCGCTGCTGCCAGGGGCGCCGCCGCCACACCCGTTCCTCCGCCGGTCCCTCGCGGCCACGACCGAGAGGGTGACGTTCATGCGCAGGGCGTTGGTGGGGACCTCCATCTCGAAGCGGCACGACACGACCCTGTGCGGGCGCTCCCGGAGGGCCGGGTCCGTGCCGGGCCACACACGGCCGCTCTCGCCCTCGCTCTGGGAGCGACGCCTGCGGCCCACGGCGATCGAATCGCTGTAGTGCTTGAGTGCAAACAAGGCGGGGCCCCGTGGTTTCGGTGGCATTGGTTTTGGTTTCGATCTCACGGAAAGAGGCATGTTGAAGGAAAAGGGTTGTGTTTGTTGCAGTGTGTTGTCTTGAATTGTGTATACTTGTGTTGTCTTGTGTCGTCTTGAATTGTGTTGTCCTGTGTTGTTTTGTGTTGTGTTGTTTTGTGTTGTTTTGTCTTGAATTGTGTTGTGTTGTGTTGTGTGACACGAGGAGGGTTTTGGGAACGAGGGACCGAACACGCAGCAGATGTTGCAAAAACACAAGGTGCCAACGAGGGATCGTCGTCCATTGCAACAAAAACCGTAGCGTACGGTACACATAAAGTGAGGGGCGAAAACGAAGTGTTCCCGGATTTCACTTGACTCGGCGAACGCGTGATCTCCTATAGCGAATAGCGAAAACCTCATTTAAGACGTGTCAGGTCTTCATCCCGTCTGACTGGTTTATCGTGATTTGTTGACGTCTCATTTTTTTGTCATCGATCGAGGGAACGAGGGAACAAGGTATAAATACGGGTTTCCATAACAAAAGATTTCGAACTAATGTTCTTATTTATTGTTCTCAGGTTGAACCAATCCGTTTTCTTTCCTTTTGATTGGTTCCAACGAATTCGAATGACTCATTGGACACGTTCCGGTTCGGTTGGCTCGTTTGTTCCGTTGCCTAAGACGGAGTGTCTTCGCTTTCGATGATGTCCTACGGGTACGGAGGGACAAGAACTTCGGATGGCAATCGATCTGACGGACTCGGAAGTAGAAATCATATCGTAATGCATAAGTACAAGTTACATACTTCAAAGTAACGAAGTACCGGTACAAGTTGTGTACTAGAAGTATTTGTGTGCGTGTGTGTGTGTGCAGGCAAGGAAGGAACGGAATTCCGGTTTTGCCAGCACGTCACAATTGCTAGAACAAGAAAGAACCCCTGCGAAAAAGGTCTGCCACCGCATCTGTTTTGCGATGGATCTGTTTCCAATACCAACCAGCGAGCGGGGACGGGAGCGGGACTCCTTGTTTCTACGAKACGAGACCAATCGCGAGCAAGGGTTCTAACTCTTCTTCCCTTTCTTCCGGGGGCAGGCGGATCCCTCTGGAATTCATAGAACGGGAGGACGAGCACAAGAAGACAAGACAAGAGGGACGTGGCCGAACGACCAGATGCGACGATAACTGATTGGGTCTCCGGGTAATGGCGTGGCTGCCGTTTGGTTCGGCATCGTAGAAGAACACACGGTTCGCAGTACGACTACGCTTGCCTGTCTTGCGAAACTTTGTTCGCGAAAGCATCCGCTGCGTTGGGGGTTTGGAGTTCTGAGTTCTCCCTTCGGCGATCGGTATCGTACCGTACGGCGCGGAGGGGGCTCGAGCACTTTTTGGTAGAACTGAACTCTTCGTATCGCAGCCACCCGGCATCGCAACAGCTTCCCGATGTGGTTTGCCCGCCAGGAGCGCCGTGGGATAAGAGCGGGGCAACACCGGCATTCTGGCACGACAGGTTACACAACACAACACATTCCGGCGGCAGGCCATAGGGGCGGGGACTCTCCGTCCGTGCGCGTGTGTGCCGATCGGAAAGCCTCGAGCCGCGAGGAACTGACTGWTGCTTTCTGCTGTGCGGTGCCTATCGATTCCCCGGTGTTCCTTTGCTTCTTTTGCTTTTTGTCGGACATTGTTGCTTGTGTTTCTGCTTTGCTGTGATGCGCTTTGCTGTGATGTGATGTGATCTCCTCTCGGGTCGTGCTCGACACAATGGTTTGGAGCGCTACCGAGACAACTCGTTGTGCCGGCGGCCTGCTGCCTCGAAAGCTGCGTCTGGGCAGGGGCTCTCGTGTCGCACGCGTGTTTTGCCTCCAGCAACCTCCCCACCCCAGTTGGGGTTTTGCTTCTACTAGACTAGACAAGACTAGACTAGTAGCTGTAAAGCTTCAACCAGCAGATCTAGCTGTGCTCCACAAGCTAGACTCGCTAGTACCGAGAGAGCTGGGTTAGCCAAGGGAGGTTGTGTGCGTGTGTGTTGAAGTACAACTTGTGCGCTTGTGAGGATTGACAACATCAACGCGTGAACGGAACTAAATGAACAAAGAGTGATACTACTGTATTGCACAAACCCAGGAACAGATCGTAGCACAAAGGCCACTTACTCTCGTGCTTACAGTGCCACGTTCCACCCAAGTCGTCTACAGAGGTCTGAAATCGACCAACATTTGGTGGTAGTGTGGTGGACGTAGCGTGTTGACCAAGAGG